AAGGAGCAGAGACCCAGGCCTCAGGCTGGGTAGAGGAGCCATAGATAGCAGCTCAGGCAAAGGCTTATGGCCTGTGACCACCACTATTGCTACCCTCGGCTGGGGGCTGCTGTTAGTCACTCAACTGTAGTGTTTCTGCTTACCTGTCTCACCTTTGCCAAGGTGCTCGGGTGCATCTGTGCCCAGGTCAGCTCCACCACCCTGACAGTCACAAAATGGCTACTCTACCACAAAGACCACGCCTGTGTTCCAGATAGAAGGAAAAAGTCATGGGCATGGCTAGCTTAGCCTTTTCTTCTTTGTCAGGAAAAAAAAAAAAAATTAAAAAGTCTAGCTTTCCCAGAAGCCTAACCTAATTAAATACCATTGACCAGAAAGAGGTCACATTGCCATGTGGGTGTAAAAGCCTATAAAGACATTTTAAATGGGGCCCCCAGTCAGCAAAATAGGCCAGTACAGAAAATGAGTGAGGAGGACCATGGCTAGGCAGCCTGGGGGGTCTGAGGGTTCCAGACATGCCATTAGTGTCTTTATTTCAGCCTCCATAGCAGTTCCCACTCTGCCATGCATTGACCAACAATGCCACTTCCAGGCCATTCATTTCCAGTGAGGCCCAGCTCCCCAGAGGCTCAGCACAGGACAGGCCTGCCGTGAACACAGTCATACCTGACCATGACTTCTGCCCTGTCAGAATCACTTGGTTTAGAGCTGGGTCCCATCAAGCCACACAGGCAAAGAGACACTTCTTGATGAATTATACAAAAAGGATTGGGGCCAGGGAGTGATGGCTCAGTTGTTAAGAACACTTGCTGTTCTTTCAGAGGACCCAAGTTCAGTTTCCAGCACCCACATGATGGCTTATAATGGTCTATACTCCAGTTCCGGGGATTCAATGCCCTCTTCTGGCCTCAACAGGCACTGCATGCACCTAGTACACATACACACACAAACACACATACCATACCACACACACTACATACATACACATCACACACTACACACTCACACCACACACACCACACCACACAGACACACACACACACACACAATTAAAAATGAATCTTTTAAAAACACCCAGGAAGACAGCACCTCTTGAAGGCAGAGCAATGCTAACCTTCAGTGGCGTCCCCGACATTGACCCCAGGTGCCTTTCGTGACCTTTGCTCAGCTGTCCTCTCATACGAATATGGCACAGGGGCCCAGCAGGGGGTCAGGCATAGTCCTCTGCACTTGAGAGGAGGAGATGGAGGGTCAGGAGAGGCTGGGGTCATCCCTAGCTACATGGTGAGTTGGAGACAAAGCTCAGCTACATGGGGACCAGAGAGGGAGAGGAGGAGAGGGAGGGAGGGAGGGAGGGAGAGGAGAAACATCAAATAATTCATGGCTTGCCTTCCTTTTCAGGCACAGACCCTAGCACTGGGGGAGTGCCGTGTGTCAGGCACTAAGGCTGTTTACCTGAGGAAATTGGTTGGCTCCCAATCCAGCAAGTGGGTTATAAGTGGGGTGGGGGTAAACCAAGTGCAGCAGTGAATTTGTGTAGCTCAGAACACCATGTGACCTGGTGGTAGCCAATGAGAACCCTTGAAAGGATTACAAGAAAAATTTCCTGAGACTGAAAAAAAAAAAAAAAAGCAGAGGAGTCTTCTATTTCTTTTTTCTCCCCTGAACTCAGATGCAACACACGGAGCCACAGCAGCTGGTCTATGGTGATATGGCAATAAACTAACAAATCAGATGGTGGAACGGTAAGAATAAAGATTAGGCTTGTCATAGGCATGGATCTGATCCACTGCCCCAGCCCGAGACCATATCTCAGCACTCACTGTAGTATGAGTAAAATTAACTCCATTTATTTAAGGGCCTGATAACTAGGCCTTAGCTTGTTGGTCAAGTAGGTTGGAATAGTAAATATGATAAAAGCTGAATGATAGGTCAGGAATCTCTGCAACCATCAAGGTTTACATAAGAGAAACATTTGGTTGACAAGGAGCAAGTGTGGCCAGTACACAGGTTGTCCCAGGCTAACAGAAGATGGAGACAGGAAGGAAATCTTCAGACGCAAGCATCAGCGGCAAAGCCCTTCTTTATAACTTCTCTGAACCCAGTGCAGACTCTGCTCAGATGACCAACCAACCCCAGTTCTCCTGTACACATTAAACAGGGACTCTGCCCAGTCACCTTTCTCCAAGACTGTGGCAGGGACCCAGTCCACACATCCTTTACTCCCCTGAGACACCTGAAACCTTCCCCCACACATAGAGTTCTCCGCTGTGAGATTGGGCAAGGTGGACCCAGTCTTTGCCCTTCTTGTGGGACGATAACACAGGTCATCATGCCGGCCTGCAGCTTCCTTGGGCAGGTTGACTATTAATAATTCACCCAGGAGACAAAGAGACACCTTCCTAAGTACTTGTCCCAGCCCAAAGCAGGGCTTGGAGCAGGCTGCTTGATAGTCCTCAGAACCCGACTGTCATATTTAGATATTAGCATGCATCAGTAATCATAAGTAAATTATTCTAAGAACAGAGCCGTGGCTGCACTGCGGGCAACATTCCATGTTCGCCAGCAGAGGCATCAAGGAAACGCAAAGCCAAGTAGACCTGGAACGATGAAGGCCCAAGGAGCGTCCTGCTTTCTGTACATAGTGGTTCTGCATCTCCAAAGGGCTGCTATACATGTACTTGTTACCCTGTTGGGGAAAACTATTTTAAGCCTAATTAGCAGGATTTTTTTAGAATGCAAATGCTTTTCATTTAGACATAAAACAAAATGTCACGACATTTCCTCCACCCATTTATCACAAACAAGTTAATTACTGTGTAACAAATCTCCCCTGCTGGAATGTGGAGGTCCAGGGCTGCCGGTGAGCTGACTCAGGCATTGAGAGGAAGCCACGGGGCGGCCGGTAATAGCTCATGGCGTGCTCACCGTAAAACCACGACTGGGAAGCTCTGCTTGTCAAATTAAGTAAGGTTAAGCTCTCTCCCTCAGAATAACTCAATTATCAGGAGTCATTATCTATTTAGCACAGAACCTACCGGAAGCTCCGAGCTCCGAGTCCGCTTCTGACAGTCATCCTCACTGGTTCTCAGAGTGGCAAAGTTTTCTGCACACCCAGTCATGTCTGCCCATTCTAGCTTGAGTGTATTGCAGGCCTCAGTTTTCACCTCTGTGAGTGCAAAATTATTTCTAAGATATAAAAACATTTTTGCTCATGACATCTTGCACCTCAGGCTCAAGGGGAAGAAAACAGGGAGAGAGCAGAGGGTGTGGGTGAGGGAGAAGTGATGTGGACATGGCTATAACCCATCCCCAGGGATGAGCAAGAGGAGCATAGGCCCCAGACATCTTGAAGGTGATATTCTTCCCTGAGATAGAGTACCCCCCACATGCCCAAGAGGACTGGAGCACACAATAGGGCCTAGGTATGCACACAGTTAGGATGCCAGCGTGATCTAGGAAGCATGGTGAAGAGATGGAGACTTATTTTCTGTTGTAGATACTCCTTGTTACCAAATAGCATTTTTCTCTTAAGTCTGGGTCACTGGGTGTGGCAAGATCTCCTTGTGTTTCTTAGGAGCTCTGGGAGGCCTCGTGTCCCAGTGTCAGCATGATGGAGTCCAGAACACAGCAATGGCAGGGATGAGCCACACTGGACATGGGACGGTGGCCCACCTCATCAAACTCCAAATCAAAACATTCATGGAGCTCTTGGAGTGTCCTGAACACACTTTCTCATCGAGGCCCACCCGTTCCAAGTTTTCCTTCCTTCTTTCCTTCCTTTCCTTCCTTTCTTTCCTTCCTTCCTTCCTTCCTTCCTTCCTTCCTTCCTTCCTTCCTTCCTTTCTTTTTTTTGTGATCAGCAATGGTCAATGGCTTTGGCTTCACAATTTGTAAAATGAAAAACATCAGAAAAGTTGGATGTTGTTTTAATTCACATAATTTGTAAGGAACAAAAATACGAAAGATTCCTGCTGGAAGGGGCCATGTCCAGCAGGTGGGAGCAACCTTCTGACACTGTAATGGGATGCCATTGTTGCCTTCAAAGTTCACACCTGAGAACCACACAACCACTCCTCCACAAAGAGAAAGAAAAAGAAAAGAAACAACAACTCACAGCTCTAAGTCTAGGATTTTATGGCCAAGTGAATTGACAGCTGCTTCTGAGTCAATGCAGACATGCCCAGAACAGCTCTCACTGTGCAGGTAAGGGCTTCCATACCCCTGTACAGACCTGTTCATAGACAGCTGCTCTATTTCCTACAACACAAACTCACCAGGAGAAGTCAACAACCTTAAGACTTCAGAGCCAATATGGAAATTAGGTTTTGAATTTCTGAAAGCCTACTCCCCCTGTCTCTACGATATCAGTTCAAACTTCTGGGAAACTGAGGCCAAGAGCAAAAACACCTAGACTGAAACCTCAGAGCCAAGTCTCTTATCTTCCACTCTATGCAGACAGAAAGTTTAATTAGTTGTCTGAAAAAGGGAAACAGATTTGCAATTTTTCCAGTCATCTCCCTCTGCCCCTTGCATACCTTGGTTTCAGAAGCTTGATGCCCCTCCCCGGGGTCTGTGTTTTCCTATCATTGGAGGGGCAGTCATGAAAGCCACATGCCACATTTGTGAGCAGAATGTCTGTGGGCTTATTTACCGAGCTCCCAACAACATCGTCTGCTTTGTCACGCATTTCAAAGTGGGGATAATTTAAGAGTCCTGCATTTCATACATAAAAATACTCAGTAAAGAAGTCTCCCTGCACAGCACTGGGTGACAACATTCCACGCGAATTCCCGTTTGTTGCCCAGGAAATGATTCACCTCAGTCCAAAATGACAGGCAGGCCTTCGGAATCATTCACCACTCGCCAGGAGCCTCTCAGTTGGCCCACTGGAACCTGCTTGATCTCACAACCACCTCTTGGCAGAGAGCGGGGCTCCAAGGCCAGCCAAGCCTTCCACTTCATCCCCGCCCCCTCCACATACACACACCCTGCTCTACCTCTGAGTAGTTTCTCTCCTTCCAGGACATTCGGGGAGATCAATGCAGTGTAGTCTTCTTCGGAGAAGCCAGCCTTGCAGGCCTCTCTGACTGTAAGATCCTCATGGTGGGCCTGGGGATGGAAAGGAAAGTGTGAATCTAAAATAAGTTAACAGAAATTTAATCCAACCCACATTTGTCACGGCCACCTCACAAGCCTCTGGCTGAGAAGTGCAGATAAACCACCATCTCCACCCAGAGGTGGTACTGGGATCCTCAGGTCTCGGGGGAACTTCAGGTTGTATTAACCCCTGCTAGGAGAATCTTCCATCACCGGACAGCTGCACCTACATCCGTGGGAAGCATAGGGTCAGCTGATGCCTAGACCAGGTGCCAGAGGGCCCTTGTTGGTATATGGCAGGGGAAAAAGACGGTGAGGTGCCGGGGAGGAGAGGTGGGTGAGCCTCAGCAGCACCAGCAGGCTTCACCAGCGGCTCACCCAGCCACAGGCAAAGCCAGGCCGCTGGAGAGGGAGGGGGTTCTGCTAGGAACCATCTCTCCAGGCTGCAGAGCTCTCTGCCTTTAGGTTAGGTGAGGAGGAGGCAGCCTCCCTTCTCCCTTCACAGGCCACAGGGGTGGGGTTCCAAGAAAGGAGCTGGCAAAATCAAAGAGATTCCAGGGCTGTTTCCAAGCTGAGCAAAGGGAGTGACCAGTTCTGCTACCAGGCTGCAAGGAGGCAAAATGTGTGTGTGTGTGTGTGTGTGTGTGTGTGTGTGTGTGTGTGTGTGTGTGTGTGTAGTGTGTAGGCAAGGCGTGTGTGTGTGTGTGTGTGTGTGTGTGTGTGTGTGTGTAGTGTGTATATGTGTGTAGTGTGTGTGTGTGTGTAGTGTGTATAGGCAAGGCGTGTGTGTGTGTGTGTGTGTGTGTGTGTGTGTGTGTGTGTGTGTGTGTGTGTGAAGTTCACCCACCCAATGTCCTGGACTCTTATTCACCCTGAAGCTCCTGTTTCAAGCTTAGTCAGGAGGGAGGGTTCCCCTGACTGACCAGAAGGGCTTGCTTTCCGCTCCTCTGGAAGTCTAGATCTGTAGGAAGGGAAGGCAATGATGAGTGGGTAGGGGTTTCCACCCAAGCTGCCAGAAAGGGAGATAGCATGTGTCCCCACCAATCCAGTCCGCTACCGGCGGAGAAGGCGCACCAGGTGCCGTGTCCCTGGTGATGAGCTCCAGGAGCCGCGGGCGCAGCAGGCACCCGGCAGTCTCCGCTTCGCGGGCCGCCGGAGCGGAACGCGCCTCGCTGCCGGCCGAGTCCTCCAGCTGCGCGCGACGGCGCCGCCCGGGTTCGGCTAGGAGGCCACCCGCAGCCTGCAGCCTGTAGCTCGGATGGAATCCGGCCCCGGAGGCTGGGAGAGGACTGGTCGGATTGAGGATCTTCCTCGGGTCAAACTCAGAATCGCAAACCTGGGGACTGCAGCTCCGACATGCACTTGCAGCCCGCGGGAGGCGAAAGTCGGCCGGGAAAGTTTCTGTCCCCCCGGGGCGTGTTCCCCGCGCACGGCGACAGCCCAGTGGCCTCGGAGCGGGCAGTCCCCGGCCCTGGTTCATCGCCGAGATTACCTCGGCGTGGCTGCGAGCAGGCCACCGGACCGATCGGCCACGAGAGGGGGTTCGGGCCACTCTATCTCCGCTCAGGGTCGCCGCGGGAGCTGCCGCTGAGCCGCGCAGAGGCCCCGCAGCGAGCCTGAGCCACCCAACCGAGCCGGCTAGGGACCGCGCAGAGACGGTGTGGGGATAGCGCGGGTGTCCAGCTCCTGTCCCCGGGCTTAGTGCTTCGCGCTCCCGCCGCGCCCTCTTTCCGGTCCTTCTCTAAGTCGAGAGGACTCGCCAGACACTACGGCTACAGCCCGCGCCCCGTAGTCGCCTCCGCCTCCCACCTCAGCTGCGCTCCGTGGCACCCACGGGACCTGGGCGAGCGCTCCGCGGAGCGGACCCGACCCCGGCAAGCGGCTGGAACTCAGGCTGCGCTGCTGCCGGGCGATGGAGGCGAGCGCTACGCCAAGGAGGGCGGCCCCGGAGCGCAGATCGGGCAGCGAGATGGCATCCCGGGTCCCGCCTGCTCCGCCCCGCAGCTCCCAGCTCCGATCGCGGGCGGCTTGGTACAGCGCGGGCGGCGGGATGAGAGAACCCGGGTAGCCCAGCCAACCCCACGGGTTCCTGGACCGCCCGCGAGCAGGGAGGCGGCAACTTACCCGGAGCGCGCCCGAGAGCCCGAGTAGCAGCAGCGGCAGCACCGAGCCCGTGGTCATGGTCTCCGCCGCGCCGCGCCGCCCTGGCGCTCTCCCGGTGCCCGGCTTCCCCTGCCGCGGCAACGCTCCGCCCGCGCCCGCCCTGCTGCTCCCCGCGCTCGCCGCCCGGGCTCCGGGAGCCAGGCCAAGTGGGCCGGCGGCGCGCTCCCTCCGGCCGGTGCGTCCGCCGGCCTCGCAGCCGCCCGCGCCTCTGTTCCGCGCGCTCGGAACTGCAGGTGAAGCCGCGCGGCCGCCCCGCCGAGGCCCCGCCCCTCCGGCCCGGCCTGACGCGGGCCTTAAAGGCGCCGCTCCCGCGGCCACTCGCTCAACAACCTGCGAGCCTGGTAGTTTGCTGCCCCGCCGGCCTCAGTCCCTAGGGACATCTGGAGCTCCGTTTCGGCAGGGCAGAAGTAGCCAAGGACACTCGGCCTCTTGGAGCAAAGACTGTGTGGACTGAAGACGGTACTGGGGTCTCCGTCCCCAAGTTAGATGTCCTTTATAGTTTGTGGGACGCCCTCGTGATCACCCCGTGATCTTAGGTCAGCTTCTTTCCAGAGCCCACTGTGGAGAGTGGACACTTTCCTCAGCCATTGTGTCTTCTAACTCCCCTGACACAGGCCTTTGTGGTGGCCTCCAGTCCACCGAACAACTGAGGAGTATACCTAGAGAGGTCAGAAGAGAAGGGGGAAGGGAGGGGGTCATTCTCCCGCTGACAGGGCTCCTCTGACCCCTTCAGCCCAAGAGACAATTTACAGTGTGAGCCTGGCTCTGAGTACACTACAAGGTTTGGAAGGGACCCTGCTCATTCCTGCAGGAAGGCCTGAGAAGGCAAGGAAGAAATCAGAGGCCCCGAAAAGGAAGGATCTCCAGCAGGCAGAGCTGTCAGGCCTGTCAGCTCCCTGGGCAGGCCAGCTCCATTTGCTTCGCATGGGCAATTTCCAAGCCCGACTTGTGGGTTTTTTTTCTTTCTTTCTTTAAGGATCATATCGCTCCCATTGAAAAATAAGGGCAGCTTGGATTGTGAGTGAAGGCTTCCCCGCTCCTTCCTTATCTAAGCAATGAAGAGAAAAGTGGAATGTTTGCTCAGATATTTCACATGTTCTTTGTCTCTCTTCTGAGGGAATCTGTGTCCAGAATACAATAGCTCTGGTTTGAGAAGAATGGGTAAAATTGCCCCAAAGTCAGAGTCAGCTGGGACAGAGAGACTTTTCCTCCTTGCCTCCCGCTTCCCCGCCCCCAATGGTGGATGGCACCCTAAGCTGTTGGCTGGTCTACTGGCTAGCACTCATGCCCACGGGAAGTCAGGTTCTAGGTGACCCTGCACGCATAGTGGGCTCTGTCTAAGGATATGACGCTGGGTTGGGCTGTACCACCAAGTATTGGAACACGGTCTGTGCCACCCTGACCATGCTCCAACAGCTTGTGCCAGTGTTGGCCTGTCAGGGCACGAAGAGGCTACTAATTTAACATGTGGTGTCAGACTGCTGTGTGGCCTTTTCTGGGGAGACATAAAGAGACATTCACCCCAGATAGAGAGGCGCCCAGACCAAAGGAAGACTTGAGTGCCGCCTGGTGAGTCAGTCAGTTTGTTGGGGTTACACGCAGGAGCACAGTGACCTGGAGGAGATGGGTCCTCAGACTCAGACCCATTGCATAGTCAGGAAGAGATAGGGAGCAAATCCTTCTGGAAAATTCTGGAAAATGGAAAATTCCATTCTGCAGCCAGTGCACATGTCCCTTAAAGACGTGCCTCCCTCCTGAACACACTTTATCCTGGCCAGGTGAGCAGTTTGCTGAACCTTCCTTTTTGCTGTGTGGTCTTGAGATGCCATCTTGGGGGCCACTCAGTGTTCTCAGTAAACCTAGGCATAAAGCAACAGGCAGTCACCTGGGAGAGCCCCTCCTCTCTGAAGTTATATTTTGGGCAGACAACCATGTCAACTTGGGGAAAGGCTGGAGGAAGCAGGTGGGTCCTGAGGTTCAAATATTGGACTTAGTACATCTCAGGGCTGCCTGTGGTTAGGTGTCGGAGAGCCTTGGCCCTCCAGACATGCAGTGTGACTCCCTGACGGAGTCTGCTCTCCTGGCATTAGCCAGCCCTGCTGTGAATCAGGGGCAGTATGTAAATGTATCTACCCCAGGGGTGCAGCTGTACAGTTTCCTGTTATCTAGCCAGGCTTGAAGGAAGTCTAGCGAGTTCATGGACTGGAAGCTGGCTACCAGCATTCGCAGGCAGACCCCAGGAGGACCCCTGGCATGGGCAGCATTCTCCAAACTTATTTATTCAAGGAGTAGGCTTAGGCATCTTATGGGAACCCACGTTTCCAAGAACATGGCTCAGAAGTGTTGCAGTAACCCATGCGAGTCCAGCAGAGAGCATTGCTTTGTCAGACTTGTTCTGAGTGAAGCGGAGAGGGCATGCTGAGACACAGAAAACATGAAGCCGCTCTTCCCAGGGACCGTCCTAGTCTGTCGCTTGCAGTCTGGCCAGATGCATGGCCAAGCTTGCTTAAAAATATAGGTTCTTGGGCCCCTCACCCAGTACTCCCTACTGAAATCCACAGGCTAACACACACACACACACACACACACACACACACACACACACACACACACACACCACTGCCACTTGGGAAGTTGCCCATCTACTTAGGAGGCAATATGCAAATCCCCAATGAAAATGCAGATTCTCTAGGCTCAGTCCTCAAGGGACAACACTGCCTTCTACCTCCCTCCCTCCCTCCCTCCCTCCCTCCCTCCCTCCCTCCTTCCCTCCCTCCCTCCCTCCATTCTTCCTTTCCTTTCCTTTCTTTTTCTATTTTTAGGCCCAGGTTGGCTTCAAAGTGACAAAAATCTTCCTGCCTCAGCCTCCTGAATGTAGGGATTACAGTGGTGAGTCAATATCATCTTTTCCTTAAGCCCTTCTCTTAATGCCCATACTAAAATCTACAGTAAAAACTTACTATTCCGTCTTTGCTTCATACAAAGAAGAGTGAAGATCCTGGCACCACCAATGTTGTCCAGGGAATAAGGTCTTAGACTCTTGAACCCTTGCATTTAGCAGTCCCCCTCGTGGACAGCAACACACACACTAACATTTGAATCATAGACATTGCTTCCCATGGAGTGCCCTGGATCAAGAAGCCTTGGGAATGCTGTTTCCTTGGCCTTGGGTCCCTTGTCTGGGGCTCTGTGGGTAAAAGATGAGTTTCTGACCTGTCTACCAGTCCTACACAGGGAAGCCACTGAGACCTGGAACCTCAGAACCTGAGTAAGCGGCCCTAGAAGGGAGTGCACTTTTGTTCCTAAGAGAACTTAAGAAAAGGCATCAGGGAGCGGGTGTCAGAATGAGTGATTTCAACACCTGTGAAGCTGTTGATGTTTGCAAACAGGGTCCTCTTCTACATCTCCCACTTGTTGGGCATACGGCAAGGGTTTCAGCTTCTGCAAATCAAATGCTCACAGATCTTTGATTTTTCCTGTATTCATAGTTTTGCACTTTGTGAGTGTGTATGTGTGTGTGTGTGTGTGTGTGTGTGTGTGTGTGTGTGTGTGTGTGTGTGTCCATGCAGGTATTTACACATATATATGTGGGTGTGAGAGAGTGCTTATGTGTGGAGACCAGAGTTTGATTCCGGTGTCTTCCTCAATTGCTTTCCACTTTGTTGATATCTCCAGGGTCTGTGGAAGAACCTGGAGCTCACTGATTCAGCTAGGCTGACTGTCCAGCCAGCCCCAGCTTTCCTCTTGTCTCTTCTCTCCAGTGCTGGGGTAACAGATGCATGCTGCCGTGGGTGTCTTTTTAAGCAGGTGCTGGGGGTTCAAACTCAGGTCCTCATAATTTTGTGGCAAGCGTGTTAATGACTGAGCCATCTTTTCAGCCTGCATTTATCAATATCTTTTAGGCACCTCACTGTTAAATGAAAAAGCCATTTTGTAAAGAAGGCAGAGTTAGCAAAAATTGTGTTCATAAAATAAAGCCAGGTCCTTGGGGGATGGTTGTTAAGAATATTTGAGGCAGGATGGAAAGGAAGGGAATCTACCTGCTACCACCTCCTGAAAGCCTCTTTGCAGAGGACAGAAGATTCTTCAGGGAAGGAGCAAGAGAGAGACAGAGAGGGAGGAGGGAGGGGTGAAC